CCACGCTGTCCCGGCTCACAACCTTCTTGCAGCCAATGACTGGCTCAACCAGCACACTTGAACCGCCTTTCTAACTTCTTGCAGCCAATGAGGTTAGGTTATAGGTCCGCTCAGGTTTGTTTTGGGTGGAGAAAGGTTGCAGCTCGTATAGGTTAGGCCTGAAGAGGTTAGGCCAGAAGAGGTTGGCCAGATGCAGTGCATATGGCCATGTTTACCTTTGGCAACCTTATTTTGTGGCTGTGGACATCCGGCGCTGTGGCTTTGAGCACTTGACTTCATAGGCCTTTATGCACTCTAGCGTTCTTACCTATGGAAAGGAATATGAACTAAGTGTGAAGTTTGGCAAAGCTGGCCTCCGGCATGCGCCCCATCATCCCACGGTCAAACGACAGCTTTTCCATGGACGATAGGTTTTGAAACAAACTATGCTATCTGAATTTTAACCCCAACGCTGTGAGCTAACATTTACGTAATTTAACTAAGCGTAGGTAGTTATGTTCGATCCGCGGTCAGCTGGTGCACGGAAGGATTCATGCAGTTCCACAGGCGAGCTAGGCTGATTGAACGCAGTTTGTTGTCAGCAGGTTACAGTTTGAGCCAAAGCCAGGGTACGAAGTGATGATTCAATGTAACGTTCAGTGGTGGACGTTCATTACACACTGGGCTATTCGCTTCAGAATATGGTGGCGTAAAGCTCTTGATATTTAAAACAAAATGATGTCATGGGCTGGTAACTGACGGCAGGATTAATACGCGGCTGATTGTATGCTGCGTAGGCGTTCTATTCAGGGCTGATTGGTGCACATAAAATGTATAAAAAAAAATTTTAAAGACCACGTTTTTCATGTGGACTAAAAAGTAGAAAATAATTTTTCGGCAGCTACTGTTTGTTTTCATTCTCTTGGTCTTTTGTATTTCAGTTAAAATATTTTACAACATCTAAAACGAAAAACGTGGGGCGCATATGTATTTAATTGTTTGTTGATTACTTGATATGATGAATATGATGGTTCATTGAATATTTGATAAGTGTATTGCTGATACAGTGGGGGGAAATAAATATTCGTACACTTGAAAAATCGTATTTTATTACCACGTTTTTCTTAGCTCGCTTTCGTGTCTGTGATGATCAAATCTTGCAATCGATATTTCACCAACTTTCCCATTAGCTAGCGCTCTGAAACTTTTAGGGAAGCTCAGCTCCCGATAACAATACAATAATCAATAATTTGTTGCACGTTTCCAGGCTGTCTCTTATACACATCTAGATGTGTATAAGAGACAGATTGTATTGTCATCGGGAGCTGAGCTTCCCTAAAAGTTTCAGAGCGCTAGCTAGCGGGAAAGTTGGTGAAATATCGATTGCAAGATTTGATCATCACAAACAGACAGACAGACAGACGGACACGAAAGCGAGCTAAGAAAAACGTGATAAAAAAATTCGTGGTTCACGGCTGCGCTCCCAGTGACACGAAGCGAAGAGAAGTGTTGTTTATTAGATGTGTTGCTCAGGTATTTTAGTTTATTGCCGTGGCCCCAGGTTGTGGTTCTTGTTTCATATTAAGTTATTCGTATGGGACCTTGCATAAACCATGAGTATATTTGTATACTTCGATGAGGCCACCACGCAGACGTATTATCATGTAACCAATATCATATTTTTCCTATAATATTAATAATGATAATTAATAATTTGATCATGATAGATTAAAATGATATTAAAATATTTTTATTGAAAACAAATTCGTGGTTTTCCTCCAAATTGTTTGGAGCCCAGCTTCTTCGCAGTCGTCAGCGTCATATTTACGAATCCGTTTCAATTGACTAAATAATTTAATGCTTAATATTAGAATAAAATTTAAAACCCAAGCATAAATGGACGGTATTTCATTTAGAAAATTTATTTAGAACTTCAAAAAGTTAAAAGCCGCATACCTGAAAATTTCAGTAACGTCAGAATGCCTCATTTCGAACAGAAACGCTCAATTTTAAATTTAACTAAACCTAATTAATCACAGAGTTGGACACAATCATTGTAATTTTGGGGCCAAATAAATACTTCTAAATATTTGCTGGTCTTTCATATTTATTCAAACTTAATGTTTTCTTGACAGCTAACCTTCGGTAGAAAGCATTCAAATTTTTCTTATAAGTACATGTCTAAAAATTGTTTAAGCACTACTATGCTATAATATAAATTACCAGAACCAATATTGTACATGTTCTGATACGTGTCTATCGTTCGGATGCCAGTGCAGTACTAAGCTAAATCATTTCTACAAGCACTCACAGACTAAGCATAATCGCAAAATCAATAATCATGCTTAGCAAATGTGCACATCAAATGCATGCACTTTTACAACCATTGATATGGGAAAATAATACGTAGAATATCACTGGTCAGCCAGCAGCATTTTTTAAACATGAACATATAATACTGAGAGTGAATTGCGCTTGAAACAAACAAATGTAGTACAACAAAGCCCTAAAATATGGGACCAGAACTGTAGAATAATCAGTTTTACTCGAGGAAGAAGGATATTTGAGATGCCGAGCACGTTCCCATTCCCACGTACCGAATAAACGGAATAATATATTCATGATGGAGATGAAAATAATGTACTCCTGAGAGAGATGATTCTTCTGATAAAACAAATATATGAGAAGCTGAGAAGAAATTATCGCTTGAATATATATGATCTACACACGTTCCGTGTTTGTGTCACTTTTGGATATTCATTTTTGCGTCGCATCTAAATCGATTCAATACTTTATTGCAAAAAATTACTTATAGATTTTAAAATTTGGTATCTGTAATTATTGGAGAGTAATCAAATCAAGTCTGTAGATAAGACCCCTCAAGAATTATGGATAATCTCTTATAACAACAAACCATAAAACCCCGTTTGTGTAAAAACATACCCGCAAGGAACAGGGTTTGCGAATCCTGTTCGCGAACGTCGTCGACCCTAAATTTCTATCCCGGCGGTGTAGAGTATCGAACGCTAAAAGGGTTGCGTGTGTAGTGTGAACAGCATATCTAGAGAGAGTTAAACAACCATTATGAGTGAATAATTTATTTTGATTAAACTTTTGCAATTACCTTGCTTCACTTGGTAAAACTTCAACAATAGACTACTGGGATCGCGATTCAAGATTTCAGGATTTCGATATGAGAAAGTTTTAAGCCAGACTGCCAGAAGACAAGAGCTTGTGAAAGGTTGTGTGTGTGCAAGGGAGTCACTAGTGCACGTTTGTTAATGTTGTTGAACGTTTGAAAACGTTCCCGAAAGAAATCGAACGTTTGCAAACAATGCTTGGCTGGTGACAAGGCGCACAAAGCTGTTCCACTTTAATGCTGCACATATGCACTTGTGGATGTCTTTAAATTTAATCTGCATCTCCGGTAATAGAAATATAGCTCCAACCAAAATTTATCTCATTAATTTCTCAGTAAAATCATTTACGAAATTTTACCACAAAAATTTTTCCACCGTATCCGTTATTTAAAATTATTAGTAAAGTCCGTTGGTATTTACGTATTAGTAGCGCGCATATATCGTCCCTGGCTACGCAGCATGGATACAGTGTCACTTGACCGGGGCTTTGTAGCAGGAAAATTTCTCAGACGATGTTTTGTCGCAGTAAAATTTCTCGGAAGTCTTGGAATAATCAAAGTTTTCCAAGGTCAGCCGGCGCCGGGGTATTTAAGCTCTGCCAGTGGGGCTATCTGCCCTGGAGTGGGGCTGGCTGCCCTGGAGTGGGGCTTCCTGGAGTGGGGCTTTCTGCCCTGGAGTGGGGCTTTCTGCCCTGGAGTGGGGCTTTCTGCCCTGGAGTGGGGCTTTCTGCCCTGGAGTGGTGCTATCCGCCCCGGTGTGGTCTCCACTTTGGTGGCCCCGTTCTGCAACCCTTCAACCATTGAGAAATCTCGATTTTTTTTTTCAAGACACCCAATATTGTACCTTAAAACAAAATTCAGTCAAATTCCTTGAACTGTTCTGACGTGGGGCCGCATTGAACAAGTCTTCAGAGGCTCCCATAAATTCCAACTAAAGAAAGAAAAGCTCTGCCAGCAGCGGTGACGCCACAGTTTGCCTCTGCTTGCCAAGCTGTAAACAAAGGAAGCTTGTAACACGAACCTAGGAAACGAAGGTGAGTTTGAAGCAATAAAGAAAAGCATCATGGCTTTTAATGCGACTACGTTTAATATTTAAAGCAAACAGTCGACACGAAGCGAGGTTATTTCGTTACCAAGTTCAGGAATTGCTGGCTGCGTCAATCACAAGTATGACGAGTGGAAACTTGAGGGAAATGTTCAAAGCTGTCTACAAGTTCAAGAATTTTTTATTGCTTATTCATGATATATATCCAGTGTTTTTTTGAATTTCCATTAAATCCAATTTATTAATGTGAGTCATGGCTTCCTAATTTCCTTCTTTCATTAGTGAAATGCGTTTCAGTTTCACCTGAAATTTCCACTTCTCCTTCAAGGGCGGCAGAAATTTTCCTATCATTGTGAACAATTAACATTAAAAATGTTCACTCATATGTTATGATCGAGAGATTACCAACTTACAAAGAAAAAGAAATTGCCACGATTTCCAGTGTCCTGTAATTTGTTTACAGAACGTAAAATACGTTGACGCCATCATTGCAACTTAATTGCGTCTGTCTGTCTTCTCTGCTCCAGGGCCCTTCATCGGTTAAACCTGACACTAATTAAAAGTTACCAGGGGTCGTACTTTCAAAATTAGTTTAGAATTCATTCATATCCCCGTCAGCCAATCACTGACGGCTGAAGCTAAACCCACTAATCAAACAAAAAATCACACATTACATGCATTTGAGCGAGTTAAGATAGCATGGCTTCTGGTGAACAGATACGTTGCTAGGGCTCGAAAGACCGCAATGTTAACAAACAATTCTTAATTACAGAAAATTAAGATGTATAAACTTTTTAAGCAAGTTCTGGACGATACAATAAATATTTATGCCCGCAGGCCCGCATTATGAACATGAAGGCATTCGGACTACTGACAAGCGTTCTGCTGGCGGTTCTGATCTTGTCACCTACAAGCGATGCCCGGCGGCTGAGTGAAAGACCAGGTGTGTATGAGGCTCACTTTCAGTTAATTCAACAGCTACACAATTAATTTATTTGGAAATGTGCTATCAGTAATGTTTTGTTTGTTACCTTAGAAATAAGAAGAATTTGCCACGAATTACTTCTATGATATTTGCCACGAATAAAATGACACGAATTTTCTTTTTTATCGTGATAGTCTCAGATTATCTTGAAATGGAGGTCTTACTGATCTATTCGTGACATAAAGTTTCTAGTCACGGACAAAATTAAAGCTGAAACACTATCCCACCCATTAAAATGTTGATTGAATGTTGGCATCACTTGTCACCCGTAGAAATAATATTGAAGTTAACCAATAATTGTTTACCTGTCGGGTTAACAGGACAATCGGATCCGTAGTTCTCATACGCAATGGTGCGATGGCTTGAACAATCCTAAGAAGCGTTGGCTATATCAGAGTTAGACAATTGTAATTTGTAATTTCTGGCAGGACAAAAGTTTTTAACCTAAATTTTAATTTTATTTTCAAATTTTGTGATAAGTATTTTATTTAATCGTAATTTAATGTCGAATGTTAAACGGCTTTGCGAACTGCAGTCTGGTATTTGCCGATGTCTGATTTTTCATATCGTTATTAGTTGAAAATATTAAGAAGTTCCCTGCACCTTCTAAATTTCATAAGGCCATAAGTTCGATATACATGAAGATTGTCCTCGGTTAGCTTTGTTTTAAAAGATAAATTATTTGCTTAGGTTCTTGCCCCGACACCAGGGGCATCTTCGGGGCGTGTGTAGTCACGGACAGGAACTGCTTCAGTGACAGCGAGTGTCCTCGCCACCAGAAGTGTTGTTCCTATGGCTGCGGCAGGGAATGTCTCAATATAGTTACTTGAGTTCCAGATTAAAGATACTTCAATTAATGAAGTTAATAGGATGAAGTTTCATAGATATTTTAAGTTTGAATATTGGCAATAAATGTCGAACTTTCAACTCTTGTGTCAAAACCAGTTGCAATACTTTTATCAAATAAACTGTAAGACTTTGTCAAGTCTTATTCTCGTCCTTTTATTAATATATTAGCTTTTAGCGATATTTGAATCTTTCGTTTTATCTACCATTGTTAGTATTTCCAGCTTCAGAGGTCATAACAGAGACCTACCTGCAAAGTGAATGAATAACCAACCACAAGTTCACATATACATCGCAAGTGAACATTTACATCACAAGAGAGCACACGCCACAAGAGCACAAGCACAGCTTCATCACATTTGTTCCGATACATTAGATGTACACGGACACTACCCTAGTGCAGAGATGCTTGTATAGAGATAAGTTGACAACATGCTCGGTGATAATTCATCAAGCACGTTGATATATAGGTATAACGTACATTTATAGATAGGTATCAGTATCACGTACGTTGATAGTGTTTACGCACGTGACAGTTCCCACGTATGTTTATAGTTCTCAAATGTGTTGATAGTTCCCATATACGTTGATAGTTCCAACGCGTGTTGATAGTTCTCACGCATGTTGATACTTACTTGGCACGTTGACAGTGCCACACACGTTGATAGTCCCCACGGATATTGGGAGTTCCAACAGACGTTTATAGTTCCAACGCACGTTGATAGTTCAAATTCACGCGCTGATAGTTTCCATGCACTCATCGTTGAGAGTTCCTACGCGTGTTGATAGTTTGGAACCAAGTGTGCCGCACTGAAATGCAAGCAAGAATATTGAACAGCTTGTATATGAAGAAATTAAATATATTCCTTATCTGCATTGTCGCGAGCGTCTATCCCAGACATTCGCGGATGGGTCAATGCAAGTCGGACTTGATTGTTGTTCTACTTCCTATTGTGAGTCCATCTCACATAACGTTCTCTGCAAATCTGAGTTGCATCAGAAGGCAGTACTTATATTAGTCTTAATGGTAATTCCTCTGGACAGAGGAATTACAGATGACAATTTAGTCGACAATGACTGAGCAATTTAAGGCACTTGAAAAATTTATTCAGATTTCTACCAAGGCAAAAGTAGTCTTAGAACTACCTATAGGTATGACACAACTTAAAAATAATATTTTGTCAAGGAAACGTTCCGGTCAGGGCTTTACAGTATACAAACTACCTGGTTAAGTTACACCAAAAAACTAAATTTAAAATAGCAATAATTCAAAATTCATAGACAATTAGATTCATTTGCACAATCACGTTGATTGTGCAGTAAACTTGAAAATCAGTATAAATAACAAAACTTCATAAATGGGGTGAAAAACTGATAGGAACATTGCCAATATTTCAAAGATCATTCACGAGATTTTAACAGATTCAAGGTGGCGGCACATATGTTTCAGACTGGGCATTATGACGAGATAAAAAATCATCTAACAGTAGATAATACTTGAAACATCCATGCTCATATCACTAATAAATCATACTTGATAAATCAAGTACAGAGATGCTTGTAGAGATAAGTTGACAACATGCTCGTTGAAAATTCACCAAGCACGTTGATACGTATTACGTACGTTGATAGTGTTTACGCACGTTGACAGTCCCCACGCATGTTGATGCATGGTTCCAACTAACGTTGAGAGTTCCTACGCGCGTTGATAGTTTGAAACCAAGTGTGCCGCACAGAGATGCAAACGCGAATATTGAACAGCTTGTATATGAAGAAATTAAAGATATTCCTCTTCTGCATGATAATATCTCTTATTCCAACATTTCTCAAGATAAGCTAATGAACACGAAATATCTATAACATGAAGGCTATTTCTTATAAGTTTAATATAATATTGTTTCATATATCTCTCTCGAATAATTGTTTAGATATTGAATATATATTATATATCCACTCTCTCACTTAGCGAGTTATTTTTGACTGTGCACATATTTACCTTCAGATTTGCTATCGCTCATTTGATGAAAACTAGATTTGTTAGACTCTGTGTAGAGTTGATGTTCACAACTAGAGTCCGAACCTTAACGTACCTTCGGAACCAATGTGCAGGATAGCAACGCGTTGCGTTAGTATCTGTTTTATCGGGATCAGACTAAGTCATCCAGATCTCTGTCTCTCTATGTTGCCAGTATACGTGCTCTGTTACCAACTGTATTTTACTAACAGCTGTGCCCCGTCGGGTTACTCGTACAGACTCTATCGCTAGATAGCGCACAGGAAAAAGGAAATTGTGTTAAATCTCGATGTCGGTATAACGCAATTAAGTAATTTTTAAGTATTCGTATGTAATTCCCGATTATTTTTGCGTCTATCGTGTGTTATCTTGGTAATATTTGTCAATCCTGGCATAAAACAATATAAATTCAACTATATGAATTTCTTCTGATGTATCGTAGCCTTTTATATTCATGTGCATTGCACATTCAGGAAGGAATAGAATTTTGGAACTGAAATGACAAGAAACAGCTATTCTCTCCATTTCAGTACATCTTACGGTTTCAATTTTTCAGCTCTCCAAATGCAGTTTTTATTAAACATGATTTAACGGAAAATAAAACCCGTTCCTTTTTCGATAACATTTTAATATCTAATCATTATTACGCACTAAAACTCACTAATTTTCTGCATCTTGTTGCCATTGTGTTCTTCAAAACAGTTATTGTCTCCAAGTTTGATATGATGTTGAATTTTTTAATTGAATGGTAAATAATATAATTATTACTGTTTATTATTTCCTAAAATGTTTACTCCTAATGGCCATTCCATGTAAGGAGCTAATACAGCTCTAGCTACTCAGAGAACTTTTAGAATTTAAAACAAAAATATCGCCAAGTAAATTTACATTTTCATTTAAAGCGTTGCTCCATGTATAAAATACATAATTCAACGAAACTAAAATAATCTTGTGGATATCGCCACACGACTTAGAACACAACCAAAATCGGAAATATAGTATTTCATAAAAAGAGAAATAAGATCGTGCAGCATTGCTCAGGGTACGACATTGAGACATCTGCTGCCGCAGCCGTAGGGGCAACAGCGCTGGCCGCGAGGGCACTGCGAGTTGCTGGTGCAGCTGTCCTCCGTCACCTGGCAGGTGGTGATCAGGCCGGAGGTGTTGGGGCAACGTCCTCCTGGGGGTGCAAACAATTATACTGTAGCAACCTTATATATTATTATGTACATATAACTAATACAATTAATAAGGCTGAGCTAATGGTGACATAATCTCTCACGTTCCACGTATAAAACAGCTAATTAGGGCATTCGTATAAGTATCATTATTAATTAGGTTGTACATACGTTCAAAAAATATATAATTAATTGTGTTGGGCGTGTTGACAAATAAATTATTTAAATTCCACTGTACGTTTAAGAAAGAAGGGTTCAATGATATAGTTTGTCAATCAAATTGATAACTGCGGATCTGTAAAATAGATACATATGGAATTGTCATGAAATCCAGACTTGCAGGCAGGAATTTTGTTGCGAACATAGCAATAAATTTCAAATAATTCATGTAATTTCTACGTAAATAAACCTTTAAAATAACGGTATTTAGCAAACTGAAGTCACTCATTACTAGTCTCGCACCTGTGTGAAAAATATGTTCCCGACTAGCAACAAAATTCACATTAGAATAATTAACTAATACTACAATGAGAAATAATTCCTTGCTCTGCTCCTGCGAACAAACCTTTATTCCTCCTTCCTTCTGCTTCTGGAGACGAGACGAGGATCACAAACACTACAGCGAACAGGACGATGGCCCTCATGGTGAGCTGTGGAAAATATTATTCAATTTGGCACAAACAAAATTTATTAAATTATGTGAACGTCGACTTTGTTTGTAGAAAAACTAATGCCGTTCGTTGAAGGAAAGAACGAGAATTTTGTGAATAAATTTCAATGAAAACGAGGTTAAGATTTAAAGGCATGCTAGAAATTTCGCTGCAAATGAAATATAATGCGAGAAATTGCATCATAAATAAAGTCTCATGAGATGAGGGTAGAAATCGCCTTTAAACATGACTGGAGTTTGACGACAGTCGAAGGAGGAATTGAACTTCGATGTGGGGCTTTGATTGTGCGCAAAATTGTTCACTATAAACGGGCAGTTATTTGAGTTTGTTCAGGCAGTTATCGAGTTATTTGAGTTGTTTAATTATCTCCATAGATAAATTTGAATCAACTAATCATATGAGGATCTACTTGGGTATCTCAGAGACCAATGTAATCATACCGTATTTTTTTCGAGTCCTTGCAACCATATACTGTGTTCACAGCTCGGCAAGCAGAGGGGTAGTGATGGAGTAGTGCCAGAAGGCGGAGTTTAAATACCCCACCTGGATAACCTTGTACGGTCCCTGCCGGGCAAAACATAGGCTGAGCTAAACCAGTTCCTGAATTCCTAGAAACGCTGTTTTTCGGGGATAAAATTCTCGCTAAAAGTACCAGTGCGACACACTGGATCGCGCAAAACTAATGCGCTAACTAACAGCTGGTAATTCATACAATTTTGAACCAATGGTAATTCATTCAATTTGAACATTCAAAACATAAGTAAGTATAAGTAATACACCGCGACAGAAATTATTACAGACTGTTGCGAAGTTTCGTTTTTGATTAAGCGAAACCTTCGAAAAATGAAGTCAAGTTAGGTTAAGATACTAGGTTAGGTTAGGATTGGATAGATTGAGCTATTCGCTATCAAATCATAATGAACTAACTTTTCATAGCTTAACTTATCCTAGCTTAACTTAACCTACCATATCTTAACCTAATGTTCAGTAAGTATTTGTAAATCAAAAACGAATAATCTGTAATAATTTCTAATGCCGCGTATCGGTTATAATTACTGAATGTTCTGTATTTCATACAAACCCTTCAGAATTGCATTACTTATGAGCTGTTCGGTTGCGTATTACTCGGGTTTTTCGTTTGAAACCGCCGACGAACACGCAGGCGACCACAGAGAAATGTCGATTCAGTATGCGACACGTCCATGGACTGCAGGGAGGGTGACAATACTAATATTATGGACATAAATCTATATTACTTTATCGTTAAATAAT